GAGTTATATCCCTGCCTTAGTTATATCCCCAAAAATGCTCTGGAAAAAAAGGGTGATATAACCCAGGTATGACTGTATATACGTATAAAGTTATCATTTCATAAATTAATTTAACACTCACGTTCTAATAAATAATTTATATAATTAGAGAAGTTTTATTAATTTGTTAATTTAATAAATTCATATGATTTCTAATTCAATACTTCTTTTTCTAACTTCATTAATAGGACGACGCGGCCAAACTAAAAATAACAATTAAAACCTTCATTTACTGTTTCATTTTCAAAAAAAAAATCATTATTTTAATAATAAATTTTATTATTTAATACCTCGTTTTTCAAGTGCCCAGGAAGGAGTAATAAGTGTCAATTGGACAATTAAAATCAAAAATGCAAAGACTCTTGCAAGTTTCATTTTTTTTTAAATCAAAAAAGGTCGTTTATTAATAGTGTACTGATTTTTTTTAAAAATAATGAAAAGAAAAGAAGTCTTTATTATTTTGTATGAAATGGAGACGATGATTCCCAGAGGAACGTCGGGGCTATTTATACATTTTATTAGGTAACAAGTAAAAGAGCGTACATTTATATAAATATGCATTTTCAAAGCCATTATCAACTCTTTTTCACTCAGACACAAACAATTAAGCATATTTTTTTAAAACCATTACCCAGCATAATCAGTAAAATTTCAAAGCCTTATCAACTCTTTTTCACTCAGACACAAACAATTAAGCATATTTTTTTAAAACCATTACCTAGCATAATCAGTAAACTTTCAAAGCCTTTGCTTAGCATAAACAATAATAATAATAATCTATATATAAAAAAATGTACAATAAATTTTTCAATTCAAGAAAAAGATATTTGAGCATGTTAAATCCATCAACTGAAATACCAGGAACGGAGTGTATGGTTCAATTCGAGTTTTGCGTGCGTCCACAAAATCTCGATTTTGATTGGATGCCTTATTTTTTGTATGTGTTATACTAAACAGTCGATGATCTGCTTCCTTTTCTGCACATGCCCGATATTTATAAATATATTGGTCATGTGGCTCGTTTCAGCAGAACAAATTTCATCACATGATCCAATATCGATGTTATCTTGCAATTATGATCATGTTTTACAAGTCATTATTCGTGACATTTATTAAGGTCCTTGTACTGCTATGCAGTCGTAGAGCCTTACGTATACCAATGCTTATTTGCATCATATGCTTAAGCCATTGATTTGGTGATCATTGAGCTGCTGCTTTCAGTCACTGAGCCACGATCATACTAAAAAAACTCTTATTCATAAAGTCATTGAGCTGCAATTAAGGTCCTCGCACTGCTACGCAGTCGTGGAGCCTTACATCTATCAATGCCTATCAGCATAAAATACTTACACTAAGCAACTCTATGTCATGTATTAATTAAGCTAAGCAAACTCTAATTCATAAAGTCATTGAGCTGCAATTAAGGTCCTTGCACTGCTACGCAGCCGTGGAGCCTTAC